TCTGAGCCATCCTGGTGGCTTGCGCTGTTTGAAATCCAAATGTTTGAGGATACAGTTATGACAGCATAAATTAATGGGATAGATCTAGAAGATTACCTTTTGATGAACCACTCAGCTCGAAGTTTGAATCCTGGAGCTGGGCAATTCGGTCCCTTAATTCCTTCTCTGTCTTTTTGGCGAGCTCCTTGGCCTCATGTAGCTGGTCCCTAACTGCTTCAAGAGTTCCCAAATGAGGAACCAGCTTTTCCAAAGTTGTAGTCTTGGCCTCATTGCGAAGATGGATTCTCTGCATGATGGTTCATGGTTTAGTTCTGCTTAAGAGAGAACAAAGTTATCAAAGGCAGTCACCCGGAAGATTTACATTCACGATGCGAGTGGCTTCTCCAAGTGCCTTCTTCAGCTGGCACACTTCCTCATCTTCTTTTTGACGATTTATGACGATGCCGGCGACTTGTGAGTTCTCGTCCCACCATTTGAGCAAGATAGGAGGACGAGAGTCATCAGCCGCCTTTATGCGAGGAATTGCTTCTTCGTCTTCGCCTGGTGTTCCTGATGCATTTCCAAGACAGTAGACGAATAAGCTGAAGTTATTTAAATCGGCATCACTTGAGAAGGTGGGTTACCTGAGGATGTTCCTAGCTGAGCGTGAGGTGACCCTTGTTCTTTATTTAGAGACCCAATCATCGAGTCGTTACCAGCCTCTGGTCCTTGAGAAGTCGTCGTCTGCGCTTCAACTTCGGGAATTTCTTGATCTGGACCTACATCCGACTGGTTTCCAGTCGGGGGCTCTTGGGTTGTTGCAGTTTCAGCTGCTGCCGACTGGTTTCCAGTCGGCGGCTGGTCACTCGGATCGGCCTTATCACCCGAAGCATGGACGCCAGTTGGCTGGCTTTCGGCAGTCGGCTCCGGATCCTTGGATGAACTTGGCTCTGTCACAGCCGGATCAGGATCTTTTCCAGTTGGATCTATGTCGGATGGTTTCCTGCAAAAGTGTTCTTTCAATATTCAGTATTATTTTCATGAGAGAAGAATGCCGAAGTGAAATGGTACCAAGAGGTTTATACCTGGAAGATGTTCTAATCTTCGGCATTGGACGGCTAGCCAGTTTTTTCCTGGGCATGGTACGCTTTGGGAGTTTATTAGGCGAGCCCTTGTCCCCAGATTTGTTGTTGTCATCGCCTTCATCGTTGTCAAGCACCAGTTTTCTCTTGCGGGAACTTGTCTGTCCAGTTGGATTGGAGATTTGAGGTTGCGGATCTGATCTGATTGTTGGCCCTCCACCTCCCTGAACGGTGTGTTGGCGAGGAGACCGGCGCTGAGTGATTGGGGGATCAGATTTCATCAATACATATTCCTGAATGAGATGCCTCCATGGTTAGTTAACTCAACATGAAGACAAGATTATGTTTTGGTCATGGGTTGAAGGTTTCAGATACATACCTGCGGAGGCGGATTGAATGCATTATATGGCACAACCGGTAGCTGATGTGAGTAGCTGACGACAATAGCGTTTGAGAAGATTTTATACATTCTCTCCTTCATGATTTTAAAATCCAGAGAGTCTGGTTCTTCACGATTGGGATCATGCTTGCCGTCAAACTCGAATGCTGTACGAGATCTTTCTTTAATTGGTGCCAGCCGGCATTTGATGAAATGCCGAGTAATCTGCTCTCCTTGTAAGCCTTGTTCTTTGAGTTTTAGCATGCGATCCATTAATTCCAATGCTTGGGCAGCTTCATCTCCGATTGGAAGAGAGTTCCAAGTATCTTGGTACACCGGAGGAAGACAAGAGTACTCGGGAAGAGCAGGCTCAGGATTCTGAACATAAAACCAGTTCGCATGCCACCCTTTGTTTGAGGTCTTGAAAGGCATAGAGAAGTACTTCTGGCTCAGAGTTCCCCTCAACTGAAATCCGGCCCCTCCGACTACACATGTCTTACTCTTGTTCGGTTGGGGCTTGAGAAAGAAGATCCGGCGGAACAGAGCGAAGTGGGGTTTGATTCCCAAGAAGGCTTCACAGACATGAACGAAATTGGCGATATGGACTATGGAATTTGGGTTTAGGTGATGCAAGCTGATTCCATAGAAGTTTAATATCCCACGGAAAAATTTTGAGGTCGGAAGAGCAAAGCCGCCATGGAAGAAATGGGAGAAGACTACAACCTCGTGTGTATCGGGAGACGGAAAAGCCTCACCGCACGCTGGCCGCCACCCGATGATCTCCTTGGCAGGGAGAACGCCGTGCGCCACCATCTCCTTCAGGTTCTCCTCCGTCACGTCGGATGGCGCCCATTGACCTTCAAAGCTTTCTTTCTCTTCCGCCATCGATTTTACCCGAATGCGCTGATTTGATTCGAGGGATGGCTAGGGAGAGGTGAGGGATTGAGGCGGTGGATCACGGGAAGGATTTTGATGCACTTTTCGAAGATGGATTTGAGCGGAATGGTGAACCCTAGTTTGCCGGCGCAGTTCTTTACTGTAGCAGGGAGTGGGGAAAATGGCGAGAGTTCCGGCGGGGAAGACGAAGTGTCGCTTGGATCTCGCAATTTCTTGTTAAGGGTATCGGAGGTGCAAATGGGCTTAGGCCTGAACAGTACCTCAGCCCAGTACTTTGACAGCGTGGCCCATTGTGTTCCTTAGGGACTTAGGCATTTTTTGCTTTGGCAATTTATGCACACAATAGTGTTGCCCAATGCTGATAAAATCCTTTTTATGCGGTCATATAATTCTTTGGAATTATTGCAATGCAAATTAAAAGGTGCCCGACAGAAAGGTGTTATACTGCTTTTTGTCAGCTTTATTAGGCTACAAAAGCTGTCTGGGTTAACTTGGAATGACTTGTTTTTATCATAGTCATTTCCTTGGTATGTTATATACCTGTTTTCATTATGGTAAATAGTCATAGCCTAGGCTATTAGATTTATTTATTACCATAATTTTTATAATATTTGGTGGGTAATCTTTAGAGTTTTTTATTCGGATGCCTGTCAAGTGTGTTCATTCGTGAACCTTTTAGAGTGTTAACCACTCGGATTCTTTTTATTATGGCTAAAAAGCAGTCGGCTAGAATGCCTCTTTAGGCGCCGCGTATGCTTTTGTCATATGATGCGCAATTGTGCTATTATTTTGTTCTCAACTATATGTTTAGTTTGTTAACTAATCACATAGTTGGGGGCTACACCTAATTAGGTGCATCTATTCGATGCACCATATTCTTTATCTTTTCGCCCTTTACAGTCTTCGTCTTCGCCACTCGGCAGGCCTTGGCATGAAAAGTTTGAAGCACTCGGATTATTATCTTTGGGAAGGCTATGATGGTTGACTGCAAAGGTCTCGGGGGCTACTGTGGAGATTATGGATACCCCATATCTACACGGCGATGATATTTGGACTGAATATAGGATACCGAATATAGATAGAATATCTTATTTGTATCTCGGGTTTGTTTCTCAACTTGTACATCAAGGAAACACCTTGAGACTTAGTCGGTTACGACTGTATTTTATCTGTATCTGCATATTCCGTTAGGGATATAGATTATTTTTTGTAACACGGACTCCTTCCCATATATAAGGGGGGTCCGGGTGCCTCTAGGGGCAGATGTTGATTTTCTCCAAATCATACAATTAATAATACACTCGGCGGATTCATCCCCGGACAGGAGTAGGGTATTACTTCTTGAATAAGAAGGCCTGAACCTGTATAAATCCTTTGTCTCCAAACCCATACACTTTTCCAGCTTGATAGCCACCCCCTTTTATTATTGCCGAAATCTAGTTTCGACAATCAGCAACGCTATCGTACCGACGGTACTGTGAATGACTAATTGATAAATGGAGAAAGTACGAATTACCCCCCCCCCCCCGAACTATCGCGGTCGTCCGAATTACCCACCTAAACCCGAAAACCGGACATTCTTCACCCCCCAACTATACAAACCGGACGAATTACCCCCCTCGACCCAATCCGCGGTGATTTTGGTCTACATGGTGTACACGTGGCAGTCCAGTCAGCATTATATTATTAAAAAATGTGGGACCCACCTATCATACTCCTTCCTCTCTCTCTTCTCTCTCACTCTTCCTCTCTCTCTTCTCTCTCTGTCTCACTCTTCCTCTCTCTCACACGCACGGCGAGGCAGGGCGGATGGGTGGCGGCGAGGCGAGCGCTGTGTGGAGTGCTTGAAGGCGGCGGCGCAGGGGGCGGGCGGGTGACCCGGAGGAGGCGGCGACGGCGGCGTGCTGAATGCGACCAAGGTGTCATCAAGAAAGACGGGAAGGCCGGAGTCTTCGTGAAGGCGAGCGGCGGCGAGGAGTTCCACGGCGCCAAGGTCGCTGGTCAAGTCCATTGCCAGCGTGGACCTCCCCACCCGTCGTCATCCTCATCCCCCGCTTCCTCCGCCGCCGCGCTCGCCTCGCCGCCGCCCCTCCGACCTGCCTCGCCGTGCGCGTGAGAGAGAGGAAGAGTGAGAGAAGAGAGAGAGGAAAAGTGAGAGAGAGAGGAAAAGTGAGAGGAAGAGTGAGAGAGAGAAGAGAGAGAGGAAGAGTGGGAGGAGTATGACAGGTGGGTCTCACATTTTTTAATAAAAAATAGAATGTTGACTGAACTGCCATGTGTATGCCACGTAGACCAAAACCACCGCGGATTGGGTCGAGGGGGTAATTCGTCCGGTTTATAGTTGGGGGTGAAAAATGTCCGGTTTTGTGGTTCAGGGAGGTAATTCAGACGACCGTGATAGTTCGGAAGGTAATTCGTATTTTTTCTTTGATAAATCACAGATTCAGGCCATTTTCAGCGCCTCTAGATCCTCTATGGTACTATATGTACAGTGCTGTTTAGTGTTTCCTGACACATGGGGCGTGCAGCCGTGCACTACTCGAACTGCATTCATTTTCAGCTCATGAAAAAGGCGAGGAAATAGAAAAAGAAAAGAGAGAGATATATGTGGATAATACGCCACAGAAAATAAAACCAAAGACGGCTCGAAGATTCCCAAGTCTGACCCGCCGGTGGCCAAACTCCGCCGCCACCACGAACTCAATTCCACGGGACAAATTGCAGAGACCACCTCGGAATTCTCCAAATTCATCGCCAATGTCCTCCTACGTCACCACCCCCCACCACCACCACCACCATGGCTGCTGCTCCGGCAGCCGCCGCCTCCAGGCACCGGCGCCTCCCGCCCGCCCCCGCCTCGTCGTCGCCGCCGCCGCGAGACACGTGGCCCTCCCCCCCCGCCGCGCGGTGGCCTCGAGGGCGATGAGCGCCGAGGCGCCCCTGGGTGTCGCGCCGGCGGCGGCGGAAGAGGAGATGGCGGCGGTGGTGGACGAGATGGCGGAGGAGGCCGCCGTCTGGTGCGCCGTGCACGGGCTCGTCGTCGGCGACCGCGCGGAACCGGTACGGCTGCTTTGGTTCCCTGGGATTTGGCTTCCTGCTCTATAGGTTGCGTTTTTTTTTTTTTAACCTCTCTGAGATAGGTTTGGTGATTGATCAGTAGATGAAAGATTCGTTTATTGGAGTAGTTATGTGGTTATTTGCTCGCGCATTAGTCTGGAAATGCGGGAGAAAAATCATACACTATTTTTTACTGTCCCATTTTCAGTGTGTTGATCCCATCCGTGAATTGCTGAATCACTAAACCCGGTATGCTCTACCAAGAGATTGTTATATATATATATATATAGTTTGTTGCTGTACACTACAGTGGTACATTCAGTCTACAACATCTTGTCTTGTGTGAAATACGGGACACCTTCCGTCTTCGAAGAATGTGTTGACAATATGTAATAGTACTGCACTAGTGCTTAGCATTTTGCCTGCACATTCTCTTGCGATTCTGATGCTACTAGGTGGCTAAATAAATAAGATCCATATGCCTTTTTAGTCCACCACTGCATCGTCTGTTGCAGTTTGGGCAGAGGTTGACCTATAGAATTTCAACTTGTTATTATGGAACTGAACTATGCTGAAGTATGTAATTACGTACAAAAGAGGTGTTTGCTTCAATCTTTGTAGTTGTGTAAATGATACATGTAGATTGTGGAGTTACATTGCTGGAAGATTTGATGGGTTACATTCTGCATCCTCATGCCATGTGTTGGATCAGGAATTTCATATGGTGTTAAATGTTGACTCAAGAATTGAAATGAAAATCATAACATTTTTTATGCGAGAATGTAAGATAGTACTTGCTAAGTAGCATTTTTGCCACTACTTGCAGAGATCAGGAACTATTCCTGGTGTTGGTCTGGTTCATGCTCCATTTGCGTTACTTCCAACACGTTTTCCAGCATCTTTTTGGAAGCAAGCACGTGAACTGGCTCCTATTTTCAATGATCTTGTGGATCGTGTGAGCTTGGATGGCGAGTTTTTGCAAGACTCCTTATCTAGGTAAGTTCCAAGTTTCACATCAAATTATGTTGATACTGATGTGAGGAGATCCATTTTAAACATGTACTAAGGGGACAGATACTGAACTGTTTGATATTGTACAGACTCCCTCCTTGAATTTTCAAGTGCATATTATCATCTGATATTCTGATCATTGAAATGACTTGTGCAATTTTTCCTCATTAAAAAAAATGAATTTCAGCTACACAAAAATTTAGATTCGAAGGAATTGCCAGGTTTATATTAAATCATCATTATTTTGTGATTCCAGAACAAGACAAGTTGATGATTTCACTTCTAGGCTCTTAGACATTCATGCGAAGATGATGGAAGTAAATAAGGAGGAGGTAATTAACTATATTTGTGTTTAATTTCTGATTCTGAAGTATGATACATACATCTTTTAAATTATCCTTTTTATTTCGTGTGTTGTGTGTGGCACATGTCAGTTCATAAGGTACTGAAAAGTTATTAATAAACCATCAGGATATCCGTTTAGGGTTGCATCGATCTGATTACATGCTGGATTCTGGAACCAATTCACTTCTCCAAATTGAGCTCAACACTATTTCATCATCATTTCCTGGTCTTAGTTCCCTTGTAAGCGAACTTCACAGGTCAGGTTAATTTCTACAGATTTGCCTTGTTTTAATCTTCTAATGTGTTAACCTGATTAGTAGTATTGTTTTGCTAACTACAGGACCCTACTTAATCGACATGGCAAGGTTTTAGGCCTTGATTCCAAAAGGATTCCTCAGAACTGGGCTGCCACCCAATTTGCTGAAGCATTGAGCATGGCTTGGACTGAGTTTAATAACAAGAGGTCTAAACTTTACCTATGCACTATGAGTTTGTGTTAATTCAGTTATTATAAAACACAAGCTTCAACTAACACGTGTTTCTTCCATTTGATTGCCAGTGCTGTAATTATGATGGTTGTTCAACCTGAAGAAAGAAACATGTATGACCAATACTGGCTTATCAATCATTTGAAGGAATCATATCCTTTGATTATTTGTTTCTTTTTGTGCTGTAATGTTGAGCTGTTAACTTCTGAAATATTGAAACTTCAATCATTTCCTATTCATTTTCTAATGTGTTGATTTTTGTTCATATGATTTAAGTTTTCCTTTTCTCGGGGATGTGATTTAAGTATTGACATGTTGCCTGACTTTTATTAGGAAAATAATTCTTGGGCTTGGTAAGCACTTGTTTTTAATACTTATGTGATTACCACAGTTAAAATCATGGAAATAGGTATTCCTTAACTATCTGTTACGCATGGTGTGAAGACCATTAGGAAAACATTGGCACAGGTAGAGGCTGAAGGGCAGGTTCTTCCAGATGGAACGCTTGTGGTGTATGTGTCCTGTGTAGGCATGAAGGCAGGGTTACTGTTCTCTATTAGCATTCTAATATTTAAATGTGTGAAAATGCAGAGACGGACAGACAGTTTCTGTTGTGTATTTCAGAGCTGGATATTCTCCAAATGATTATCCTTCTGAAGCGGTATGCGCTACTGCATTTGTGTGGTGAATACCCTTTTTCATTAGAGAGGAGATTCCTATTTTGGATTCCTATTTTTGTATTAATCACGAAGTTCCTTGGAAGAGGTTTTGCTTCAGAAGCATTTGTATTTTTGTTTTCTGGTTCATGTTTCATAGCTTCCTGTTTCTTCAGAGAAAAAGGAATGCTTATTCACATTTCACCATGGTGTCTTTTCTTTATATTGTAGGAATGGAGAGCCAGGCTTTTGATGGAGCAGTCATCTGCTATAAAGTGCCCTTCAATATCCTACCATTTAGTGGGAACGAAAAAGATCCAGCAAGAACTAGCAAAACCTAATATTCTTGAAAGGTAATGGTCATTTTTATTACCATTGGATGATTATTATTTTCTAATATCCCTGTGGTGCTCTGCATATTACTTTTTAGATCTATTGAATTTGTTACTCACTTTGGTCAATATGCATCTTTTTGAATGAACAGTATATCATTTTTTTTATTTCTAGCGCTATACTTCTAGAGTTCAGTTTGTTTAGCCATGTGTTACTGACCACTATCTGATTCTATTTGTCTGCAGATTCCTTAACAACAAGGAGGACATTGCCAAGCTACGGAAATGCTTTGCAGGCTTATGGAGTTTAGATAATGAAGAAATAGTGAAGACTGCAATAGAAAAACCTGACTTGTTTGTCCTGAAACCTCAGCGAGAAGGCGGAGGTCTGTTTTCATGGCACTTAAGAACACCCTTTTGTTCACTATAAATCTTCTGGAAACGTGCTGTTACTAATATTTGTTTTCAGGAAACAACATATATGGTTATGATCTGCGAGAAACGCTGGTCAGACTCCAGAAGGAGCAGGGAGAGGCACTTGCAGCCTACATACTGATGCAAAGGATTTTTCCAAGAGCTTCTCTTACTCATCTGGTCCAGGGTGGCGTTTGCTTTGAGGACCTTACAATATCTGAGCTTGGGATATTTGGAGCCTATTTGCGGTAATTAACCCTTTGGAAGCTCAGAACTTCTGTATTTTTATGTATTTGTCTTGTTCCCTTCCTTTTTTCTGATCGAATTCTTCGCTTTACAATGCATATTCAGGAACAAAGATAAGGTAGTCCTGAATAATCAGTGTGGTTACTTGATGCGCACCAAAGTTTCTTCATCAAACGAAGGTGGAGTTGCTGCAGGATTTGCTGTTCTGGATAGTATTCTCCTCACAGATGAGGTGATACTACATACCAACTAATTGTAATAATACCTTCATCAACGTTCTTAGTGATGAAAACTTTATAAATGTATATATTTCCCTACTGCAGTGGTAAAGCAGAGGGTCACTCACCATGCACCATCACACCAAATATCAAATCAATCTTGATAAGCATATGCTCCAGTCAACTTCAACCAGTTTCTGAGGCATTCCTGTCACACCGTAGAATGAATAGACCAAAAAAAATCTGAAATATTCTTCTCTAGTTTCTTCTTCTCTTCTGAAATTTTGAATTGAATCTGTCTTTTGTGATGTCATTCTTGCAGTGAGGAAGCAAGGTAGCAAGAGTTACAATTGACAGCTAGCAGACACTGGAATGAACCTGGCTGACAGAAGGTTGCAATCTCAGGATTCGGTTGAGCACCAGTTTTTCTCAGCCACAGGCATACATCAATGACAGATAAAATAACCTAAACAATTTTTGCCACAGAAGAGTAAATTACACTAGCGGTACTTAAACTTGTAACGAAGTTTCACTTATGTCCACGAACTTGCAAAACGCGCATCGAGATCCTTAAACTTGTTTAACTGTGTCATCCCGGTTCAGAGCCTGGTTTAACCGTGGTCTTGCCTATGTGGCATGCCACGTAGATGATGACGTGGCTAAATTTTCTTTTTTCCTTTTTTTTCTCTCCATCTTTTCTCTCCTTCCTCACAGGTTTCCAGCGACAGCGTGCGTGCGCGGGCGCCAGCCGGCGGGAGGAGAGGAGCAGCGCGCGTGCGAGGGCGGCGGCCGGCAAGGAGAGGAGCAGCACGCGTGTCATGACCGCGGGAACACGCCGACCATCTCGGCGTCGCTCTCCCACCCTGCATTCCCGCACTCCGCGCCGCTCCTCCTCCGCCCCCTCACCTCCGCACTCTCCGCGCACGTGTCCGTCGCCGCGAACGGCGCCGCGAACAACCTCGGGCACCTCCACACCATGTCGCTACTGTCGTCCTCGGCTACCGAGCTGTCCCAATTCGCCGCCGACGCGCGGCTGCTCGTGTCGCCCGGGAACGGTGGGGGTGAAGGGGTGGTGGTAGGGGCGGATGGGCTGATCCCACGCTCGTTGACTTCGTCGGGTCACTGCCGCCGGCAGCGGCGGCACGGTGTCCACCGTGGCCGCGATGCTTGACTCGGGAGAGATCCTGCCGGCGTCACGCGAGAAGGTCGTGTCCGTGCTCGCCGCGTTCGCGTCCTCGGACGCCACGGCCCACGTGCTGGTTCTTGGCGTAGGTGGCGGGGGCCGTGGTGCCCCACCTCTGCCACGCGCTGGAGTCCGGCGGCGCCGACACCGAGCAGGCGTTCGTGGCGCTGCGCCCTCTCACCACGGACTCGCGGGACGCCGCAGCGGCCGTGGCCGCGCGTGGCGGGCTGGCCGCTCTCCTCGGCGCAGGCCGCGGCCGCGGGCGTGCTCCGCAACCTCGCCGCGTTCCCGGACCTCCTCCCGATGTTCCGCGAGGAGGGCGTGCTCCCGTCACTCATCTAGCTCGTCTCCCTCGGCACCCCGCGCGCGTTCGGCCTCCTCCGCAACATGGCCTCCTTCCGCTACATCGCCGAGATAGCCGTCTCGGCCAGCTTCGTCGACCACGTCCTCGCCGCACTGAGCAGCGACAAGGCCGCCATGCGCACGTTGGCCGCCATGGCGCTCGCCGAACTCTGCAACGCCTCCAGCCACGGCCAGACACGCGGGGACGTCGGCGACGCCGTCCCGCGCCTCATCTGGATGCTCAAGGCCAAGGCAGGCAGGGACGTCGCCAAGAGGGACGCCGCGGCGAGGGCGCTTGCCGCACTCGTCGCAGCGAGCAGCTACAAAAAATTTTCAAGAAAGAGGAGCAAGGCATCATCAATGTCGTCCAGCTGCTCGACCCGAGCACCGCCCGCGGCGGCATTGACGCGTGGTTCCCGGTGTCCGTGCTGCTCGCAGTCTCGCCGTCCCGGCCGCCCGTGGCAGCGTCGATGCCGGAAGCAGATAGTGGCCGCCGGCGCGTGCTGCTTCCTGCAGGGCCTCCTCGGCGCGGAGGTCGACGGCGCCAAGAGGCTCGCCGACTGTGTCCGTGCTGCTCGCCGTCTCACCGTCCCGGCGGTGTCGGAAGCAAATGGTGGCCGCCGACGCGTGTGGCTTCCTGCAGGGCCTCCTCGCTGCGGAGGTCGACGACGCCAAGAAGCTCGCCAAATGCGTCGCCATAGGCAATATGCTCGGCGTGTTCCCGCGGTCTTGACACGGCCCCCATTGCTTGACTCGGGATAAGAAGGGAGAAAAAAAGAAGGGAAAAAATATATAAAAAAAACTTTCCATGTCATCGCCCACGTAGTATGCCACGTAGGCAAGACCACGATTAAACGAAACTTTGGACTATGATGATACATTAAACTAAGTTTAGAGATCTCAATGCACGTTTTGCAAGTTCGTGGACCTAAGTGAAACCTCGTTACAAGTTTAAGGACCGCTAGTGTAATTTACTCGCCACAGAAAGATGGAATAACAATTGCAAGTTTACTACTGATTTACCCCCTGAAAGGGAAGGGAAATAGGATCAGTGAGCTTGTGCCGGCAAGTATATGAACTGGTAATAAAGATCACCAGTGTGTCCCTGCTCTACTGGATGTAAATGTAAAGTAATCATGGTGACCCGTTGTGCATGCATCTATGATGATGATGAATTTTCTTTTCAGTTTATAGATTGAAAAACATTGTAACCTTGTAGTATGGTCTTGAGACGTAAAATTGTAACGTTATTCGTGTCAGCCATTGTTTTCTAAAAGCAAAATAAATGTACCTATCGCAGCTTCACTTTCTTGGCTGCTTAGTGAGACCGTTGCTTGTGCAAAGATTTCCCCTATGTCCTGAGTTCTTTATTCTACAGTTCTAGTCTGTCGTCATACAATCGAGTCAAAAAGATGGTTATTCTAGTGCTACGCCGAGCCAATTAAATTTGAAAATATGCTGTTTATTTATTTTTTTTCCTCAAAAATATTCAGGATACAAATTTTTTGGCACAAATATACCGTCGTCGCTGGGTGAGAGTGCGAAAGTGATATGGTATCGCAGAACCACTTCGCGAGAACGGCGTAGGGTGACGACGTGGCACGGTTCCGCGAGGGAGTGCCGCTAGATATGATCAATATTATGTTGGGATGTGATCACGGGAGAAAAAAAAACTCAGGTAGTGTAGAGACTAGAGAGAAGAGACTATCTCTTTCAAGAGAACAGGCAATTTCATTATCCGGATTTGAAAGAAAGCCCAGAGCACAAACATATACAAGTCTTACAAAGATATACTACAAGTCTTAATTGGAGACGACGTACTTGAATGAAAAGTAACCAAATTCTTCCGTTAGTCTTGTCATACGTGCATTCACTTTAGCACATGCATAGTACTCCCTCTGTTTCAAAATGTGACACCGTTGACTTTTTAAGACGTGTTTGACCATTCATCTTATTTAAATTTAAGTAATTATTTGTTCTTTTCATATCATTTGATTCATTGTTAAATATACTTTTATGTACATGTATAGTTTTACATATTTCATAATTTTTTTTAATAAGACGAACGGTCAAACATGTGCTTAAAAAGTCAACGGTGTCAAACAGTTTGAAACGGAGGGAGTAATAGGGTATAACTAAAACGCCACGTGCTAGTAATTAGCAAGATGCCCGCGTGCGAATTCAGAAACTTCCGCAGTTTAACAGCCGAAATTTTTTTTATAATACTCAAAAGTTGAATAGTATTAGACCGTTGAATTGAGTTTGTACATGCATGTGAAGACTAAAGAAGAGACTTGAAGCAATCCAGACTAAATTGGAAAGTGTAAGACTATGTACAGGCACAGGGTCCACTGCATGCCAAGATTACAGGAATCATGCACGAATTGGGATCCAAATCCAGCGTGCACCTAGGAAGCACCAAATTGAACAACCTCATGTAACTAGTATAAAATTCAAGCATCGACACAGAATCAGACTTGATGTGACGGAAAGTTACGTGTGTATAAAATGTTTGATGTGATGGACAGTTGGAAGTTTAAAAAAAAACTTTGAAACTACACACACCTTTAGTTAAGTTCTACATAGTTTACTTTTTCGAGCTGTAAAAATATACACACGATACCTTCGGTTGCAAAAATTACATTTTGTATATAGGAAATTCCTTACGTACCTATAAGTTTTCGCTGTACGTATCTCTTCTACGCCTCTGTATTTTTCTTTTTTTGCATCTTTTACATGTCCTGAGTTGTTGACCATGAATTGATAGCTAGTTTCTTCATAGAATGTTAATTATGTTCTTCTCTCATACTTCAACGCGATAAGATTCATTTATAAAAAGAAAATAAATGGATTATATTTATTTGAGCACAAATTTTAAAACTGAAATTTAATACTTTAAAATGAATTTTAAATCAAATTCAATGATATTCATATAACATTTTCAAACGAAAATTAAGCCCAATTATAAAATAATTTTGATTTTCAATTGCAGTGAAACTTTCATATGGAACTCATTAATTGTTTAAAAGTTATGCTTGAAAATTTAAATTTTGTTATTCAGATATGGGTTCAAATAATTCCGTCCCATTTGAGTTTGTTAAAAAAAAAAATCACATTGAGAATTATGTTTTCTCTGTAATCCAGCACATAAGTTTGAGAGGGGCAATATAGTTATTTTAGGAAAAATCTAAGAACCAACTCACATTCAACAAATGAAGGGGGGTATATAGGGGATTAAAATGAAAACTCAAGAATATGAAGGGGATAAGACAAAATTCGAAAACATAAAAGGGATTGAGAAAAAAATAATAGGCACGCAAGAAATTTTATGTTTTGTGTATACATAATACATGGATGTAGTCAATTATTTTAAACTGTGCCTCATAAAATGTCTTTTAGTATTTAAATTAAACTATTGAAAAATGCTTTAGCTAGATTTGTCCTTATGAAAAGTTTCGAAATACTACCTCACCGTCACAAGATATAACTCCCAAAATACAATAACTTCTCTATCTAGTGTCTTATCTTAACCAATTCCTTTTATTTCTTCACCTACGACTTTCTTAATAGTTCCTTGATAGTGTCTTGATTTTAAGGTTTTACCAAAAATTTGTCCAGATTCCACTAGTTTCCGCTGATAACTGGCAATGGTTTTCCAAGCCCCTAGCCTTCTACGAGAGATTTGACAATTTAACACTTTTATTAAAAATAGGCTTCGATTAATTCCTATCATTTCTCTACCTATCTCCGCTCTCTATATATATGATGCCATTGGTGCCTCTCGAAGAGCACCAACAAGCAAAAGATCAAGAGAACGTACAGTTCACCAATGGAGATCACGAGCAGCGCGATGCTGAAGCCGGCGCCGACGCCGACGCCGCACCCGCTCGCCGGCGAGAAGGTTCCCCTCACCGCCTTTGACCGCGCGGCCTTCGACGTCTTCGTCCCCATGGTGTTCGCCTACCGCGCGCCGGCGCCGTCCAGCGAGGCGGTCAAGGAAGGCCTCCGGATGGCCGTCGCCGCGTACCCTCTCGCCGCTGGCCGCCTCGCCGTCGACGTCGCCGCCGACGGCCAGGGGCGCCGGCGCCGTCGTCGTGTCCTGCACGTCAACGACGAGGGCGCGCTGGTCCTCGATGCCACCGTCGAGGCCGACCTTGACGCCGTGCTCGCCGCCAACGTCGCCACCGACCTGTACCCTGCACCACCGGAGCATAGCTTCGGGGCGGCGGTTCTGCAGGTACAGCTCACCCGCTTCAGGTGCAGCGGCCTCGTCGTCGGCCTCATCGTCCACCACCATGTCTTCGACGGACACTCCACGAGCGCCTTCTGCACCACGTGGGCGAGGGCGGTGCGCGACGGCGAGGCATTCAGCGTTCCGTCTCCATGCCTCGACCGCGCCATCACCAGCGTGCCACGCAGCCCGCCGGCGCCGGTGTTCGACCACCGGTCAATCGAGTTCAAGGTAGGTAATAAATCCAGCGATTCGTCTGGCGCCGCCGCCGCCGCCGTGGAGAAGATCACAAACATCGGCGTGCGCTTCACGGCCAAGTTCGTCGCCGAGCTCAAGGCCCGCGTCGGCGGCCGGTGCAGCACGTTCGAGTGCGTTCTCGCGCACGCGTGGAAGAAGATGACGGCGGCGCGCGGCCTGAAGCCGGAGGAGTTCACGCGGGTGAGGGTGGCCGTCAACTGCAGGCGCAGGGCGAACCCGCCGGCGCCGGCGGACCTGTTCGGCAACATGGTGCTCTGGGCGTTCCCGAGGCTCCAGGTCCGGCGCCTCCTCAGCGCGAGCTACCGCGACGTGGTCGGCGCCATCCGCGCCGCCGTGGCGCGCGTCGACGGCGAGTACATCCAGTCGTTCGTCGACTACGTCGAGGTGGCGGACGCGCGCGGCGAGGAGCTCGCCGCGACGGCGGCGGAGCCGGGGGAGACGCTGTGCCCGGACCTGGAGGTGGACAGCTGGCTCGGGTTCAGGTTCCACGAGATGGACCTCGGCACCGGGCCGCCGGCCGCCGTGCTGTCGCCGGACCTGCCCATCGAGGGGCTGATGATCCTCGTGCCGGTGGGCGGCGACGGCGGCGGCGTCGACCTGTTCGTCGCATTGGCCGACGATCGCGCACAAGTTTTCGAGCAGATCTGCTACTCGTTGGAGGAACATGCTATCCCCTCTCATCTTTAAATCATAAATAAACTACCTGGGTTGGCCCGCATAATTCCACGGCTAACATCCACAAAATTATCTATTTTTACATATAATTAATTTAAAATTTATTAAATAGTCATTTTGTTGTATTATGAATTTCAAAGATTGAACCTTATTATCATTGAGTTTTTAATTTTATAGTTTTTAAAAGTTATACCGGTTGTTACCCTTATTACTTTGTCACACCTCTATTTGCTCGTGCGACCTAGCTTTACGGGTTCTATTCATCCCCCTTAAAATCTTTAAAAATTGGTTCTTTTAGTTTTTAAAGTTTATTGTCTCGTCGGGTTTCGTTTTTATAATTTTTAAAATTTTTGTCAAATGCCACCACTGTATTCCTCTCGTGGCTCTCGTCCGCTGCCTACCCTTATTATTATTATTATTGGGATTTTAAATATTGAAAATGATTATTGTTGGAGTTTATATTTTACTTTTTAGAAGTCACGCTAATCGTCGCGACTATGCTACTTGACGGCCTGCTTGTTGTCCCTCCTCGAACTTGATGGACCGGTGGTCGAACACTGGCGCGGGCAGACTGCGTGGCGCGCCGATGACTGCGCAGTCGAGGGACGGAGACGGACGTTGAATGCCTCGCCCTTGCGCACCACCCGCGCTCACGTGGCGCAGAAGGCGCTCATGGAGTGGCCGTCGCCGACGTGGTGGTGGACGATGAGGCCGACGATGAGGTCGCCACACCTGAAGCGGGTGAGCTGTACCTGCAGAAGCGCCGGCCTGAAGTTATAGCACTACCGACACCTATAGTGGCGACACCTATTTGATGTTTTGTACTAGTGCGGCTATCGCGGTCGTCGACGGCGAGGGCGAGGCGACCCGCCATGTGAGGGTACGCGGCGACGGCCATCCGGAGGCCCTCCATGATCGCCTCATTGGACAGCACCGGCGCACGGTAGGGGAACACCATGGGGACGAAGATGTCGAAGGCCGCGCGGTTGAAGGCAGTGAGGGGGACCTTCTCGCCGGCGAGCGGGTGTGGCGCCGTGCCGTACGCCGTCGCCGGTGGCGGCTTCAGCATCGCGCTCCTCGTGATTTTCATATATGTACGTGGTTTTTGTGCACTATATTATAGCGTAGCTCAACTGACTATGTTCCTTGGGGTTTAACCAGCCCTCCAGACACATGTGTGTTCGTATTTATAACTAATTATTCTTTCAATGATAAGTCATGTACCCAATGTCTGCGGTGACTTCATCAATCTTTTATATGCTTATAGAATAGGGTGCGTAGTCGTGCACGTGCTATGAGTGCCTGCATTTGTACCATGTTACTCCAAACACATAATCAAGGTAATAAATAGCGTTCGTAGCGCCCGTAATAGCGGCCGCTCTATAAGGTAGCGGACTGAAGATAGCATGTTGTAACTTAGTGCCCGCTATAACGTTTCGCTACCGCTATAGCAGCCTGTTATAGCGCTTCGCGACCGCTATAACAGTCCGCTATTGACTTTATTGGACCGTTATAAAGCTTAAATGTTGTTCTTCATATATGGATCGTAGAACTTTACATTGTTTATCTTATATATCTATATGTTACTTCATATTTTTTATGTTATAAAATATAGGAGTAATTAAAAATGTATTATTAATTCTAATTCTTACATGAATTTGATGTTAATATTGATGTATTTATGGTTATTTTCTTATATTTGCTATTGGAACTTAGTGTCCGCAATAGCGTCCGCGTTCCGCAATCTGCTACACAAGATACTAATCCGCTAACAACCGCTATACACTATTTATTACCTTGCACATAATACACAATAAATAACAATCTTAGAAGCCATATGATGACCGTGCATTTCCAGACCATTTTATCTCCAAAAGCCTCTATCCTTTGGGAAAAATCATGGAGCGGTGAACCAAATTAAACTAATTAATCTCGTTGGAGCCAGCCTGCGAGGTAGCTAGCTAGGCGTATTGTCATTGTCGCCATGGATGTCGAGGTTGCTGAGACACTAGTCTCCACGGATACATTGATACCGATACCGGCCCGTCGACCGAACGCGATGGATAACGCTCTCTCCAGTCCTCTTGTCGGCTTCAAGTACAATGTACAGTTCGTCGAGGCTAACTAATTAAGGATTGAAGAGGATTTTAATTCATATATATTGTGGTGTGTGAAGTTATGTTCTTTTATACATGTGGTCTAAAGTGGTGAGGGGTGTAAAATAGACTTAATTCAACGACGAGCACGGTGGACCGGTCATGCCTTCGGGCTGGCACGGCATGGCCCAAGTTTTATTGTGTTGTTCCTAGGCCCGTAGGTACAGCCTGTGGACCGGTACAGCACGGCGTGTCGGTTGGCCCGTGCTAGTATCTCAGGTCGTATCTTGGTTATGCTCAGACCGAGTCATGCCAGACAGACCATTTAGCCATCTACAGTAGCCACAAACTCTAAAAGACCATCACCGGTGAGGAGCTCCACCTCTGTCACCATCTTCTTTGCAAGCCGGGAGGGTCAGGGTGCGCCAAGGAAGCTGAAGCGCCGCTAGCTATTGATGCCTAGAACCCACTTGGTCGGCTGCTCCCTTACTTTGCTTTATCATCACTGTCATAAAACCTCCTCACTATTTTACTCATTAAGAGATATATTCTCATTTGTTACTCTCTTTTTTAAATCAGCACTGCTATACGTACGATTATTTTTGTACGACGTTTGTACGATGAAACGTTTCTCTCCTGACTCCTAACGTTTTTTACTATGAAACGGATCCCTCCCTTGTTGAGCTCATATCCAAAGCCCAAGATCCTGACGTGCTGGTCTGCTATCTCATTGGCATGCTTGCATAGCCAACCAAAGCAATCTTCTTTCTAATTATATATTAAGCAATTTTCATCCTAATTATATTTTATACAGTAATTGTACTTAGCGCTCATTTATCATGTGGCAGGTTAAGCAAATTACTCATACATATATGTTCCTTGCACCTTGGACAGGGATAGCATCAACCCTAGTTGGAAGTAGATTCTAATGGCCACTATCAGAATTGGATGCAGAAAAAGTTCATATATGAACCAATGTCAAACAAGGTTTGCATATGTTTAGATACAGATAGAGTTGTTAGAGACAAACTTAAAGCCATAGTATAGTGCTGCTCAGCACATTAATTGATGTCACATGGTGATGAAGCATAACTTGTTCCAAAAATTCCACTCTTTTAGTCATGGGATAGAAGGCCCAAAATATCTTTTTTTTCCCTTTAGATTAGATAGTAAATTTAGTTAGATTGAATACTCTGGTAGATCGTGCTAATATAATCTCAAGTATAGATATAATCTCAATTAAGTCAGATGCAAAGAGGTTAATTGGGCTTTAGGGCCCATGAGCGCCCCTGAGTACAGCCGCATGTGCGTGCGCCGTGCGCTCGCGTTAGGTTCTCCTGCCGTCGGCGCCGTTACGTTTGATCGTACAAAAATCGGAAGAAAAAATAAAAAATCGTATGCGTAGCATTTTCCTTTTTAAATAGTGGGGTGTACGTGCTCATGCTTTGCCATTGAACTAAAATCCAGAGGGTAGGGGTAGCACCACATGTGGATCTGCCTTTGTTTGTTGTCGGTAGTCTTGTTACATAATAATATTGTTGATTTTTGCAATAAAATTGTTGTTTACCATGTAACAAAATTGAGATGAAAATGTATTCATTGTCCAGAAGATAAAATGAGAGAAGATTCTTTTCCAACATGCGGTTTGGAGTTTTGAACTATGACCACGGTCTGATCACATGCCAAGCGACCCATATTGAGTAGACCATCTAATGGTTTGGGTTCTCACGATTATGTCCCAAATCTAATTCAAAACAGGCCTATCATATCTAATATTTTAAAGCCGGTGGTTTTTCTTGTAAAATTATGCGCCACGTGATACCAATAGTTGCACAACGCGTGCGTGCTGCTGCTCCATCACGTGCTCGCCCACTGCCCCACTCGTGCGCGTGTGAGCCAAACTAGCGGACGCTGGGGCCGGCTTGGGCTGGAACTCAACAGCTGGCCCAGCAGGTAGTAGAGGGGGAGGGGCTGGGCCTGTTTGGTTTGGGCCAGCCTCGCTCCCCTTTCTTTCTTTCTTTTTTTCCTTACTTCTTGTGCTATTGTTGCTATGGGGTTCACTCATAGTACATAACATGATATATGGCAAAGTTAAATGTGAAATTGTAAATTTTATATTTTGAGAGGATGCTACAACTCATTTTTATTAAAAAAAATGTAAGCATAAAATAATATGATAGAATAGCCATGTATATACTTTACATGTAGTCACTTTATAAGGAATAACCAGATAAATCTGTCGTTTAACTAAGTAACAAAGATTTATTTCCCTACCAAACTTTGAAATACCAATATCCTCGTATTAGGGTATTGAGTTTTGGCATCAAAGAAAACAACAACACTTCTATCTCCAAATAAAATGGTAAACCGACCCAAGAAAATATTAAGGACACAAAAAGGAATGCTATATTAAATAAAAAAATGGAGAAAAGATTAAAATAAATAATAATGCTAAAGCAATTAAATATTTCCATATTGCGTGTGAACTCATCTGAAGTGATCATCCTACCAATAACATGATGCTTGCAATGATATTATGCTAAGTCGATCAATGTACAAACATAGTATTTTTTTACATAAATGATAGAGTGTTTTTTAAGCATTAACATGTCCTAACTGCTAATTAAACTACTATGCCTTAGCCTGCTCCACCTGAGCACAGGTCCAGCTGGTCTAACCCCATGCCCAGAGCTATTGGGTTGCAATAAACGTAGATCCACTAGCTTTGACTGATTATATAGTACTAAACAATATGCACATGATAAGGAAAAAAATTATACGCTCGATTGGTTTCGAAAAAAATATACTCGCTCATTTTCAAATTGATCATTATATAAGTTTATACATCAAGACTAAGGCTGTTTTTACAAGAGCAAGTTCTCAACACTCTCCTCTCGTTTTCCATGTGCACGTTTTTCAAACGGCTAAACGGTGCGTTTTTTGTAAAAAAGTTTCTATATGAAAGTTGTTTTTTAAAAAATAATATTGATCCATTTTTGAAAAAAATAGCTAATACTTAATTAATCACGTGCTAATGGACTACTCAGTTTTCCGTGCGCACTGTGCGCATGTTCCCATCCTCTCCTAGCGAACACAGCCTAAGGATAATTTAAATCACATCAATCTCCCACAATGCATGTATCGATTAAAATAACATGCCAATTATACCTTAATTAGAATACACACATTCTCCCATGCTGCATTAATTGTATTTCTGATGAAATCCATATTCATGCGGTTATATGATGATCAATTTGAGAAATTTTAAATTTTATTATATGATGATCAATTTGGGAAAGAGGGAGTAGCAAGGAGTACTTAGTTTCACCATTACAAGAAACCATGACTGAGGGCATGTACAATAGCGTCTAATAACGCGCTCTCTTCGTTGTCATATAAGTAAATTTGGTGACGTGGAAGAAAGAGAGGGAAGGAATGAGAAACATCATTGCTACGCATCACAACGGCTCAGAGTCGACTTTTAGCATTTATAACAGAAAAATTGTTGCATGAGGGTGGAAAAAAGGAAAGAAGTATAATAAAAACTATTTAGTGCATTAACGGCTTAGAAATCTTACTGTCTCTACTATTGTAGCAGGATAGTCTCTAGATACATTAGTATAGAGAGCTTGTATTAGCAAGTGGATACAAGAGCCGAATAAAATTTGAAAATATATCTTTTTTTTTTCGTATTTTGTGTTTATATACACGGGCGAAAAAGAATTGCATGAATATACATCTTCCGCGGAACGGAGGTGCGGGACCGCCACTCGCCGCGCGCTCCCGCAGCTTGGCCGTGCGGGACCGCCGCTCGCCGTGCGCTCCCGCGTTGCCGTTGCGCGGGACCGTTTCGGTCGGCAGCAGCATGCATGCATCATTGCGTCATTGCTGCATCATTGCGTCATCATTGCGTCAGCTCGGCTGGATGCATGCACGGCTCCGCAGGGCAGGTATGCGGGACCGTTCGGTCCCGCAGTGCAGCCGCGCGGGACCGGCGCTCCTGGAGCATCAGCGGACAATTTTTTTTGTCCCCGGTGCGTGGGACCGCGTCGGTCGCGCGCCCCCGCCGCGCGGGACCGTGATGTCGCGCGCGGGTGCGACGGTTCCGCGCGGCCGTTCCGCGGGAGCGAGTGGCACCCTCTTGGTCCCGCACCTCCATTCTGCGGTAGAGGTATATTTTCGCAATTCTTTTTCATGCATGTGTATAAATGCAAAACGTTGAAAAAAAAGGTATATATTCAATTTTTATTCTACAAGAGCCACTATGCTATAAATGCAACGATAATTAGCAAGTGGAAGACAGTACGTATAAATTAAGGCGGCACGAGCGCAGCATGGGAATAGAATATTTAGGAAAAAGAAGAAGAATCATTACTCCTAGAAGATTGGGTAGAGTAGTGCGAGAAAAGGACAGCGCAATCAAAATGAAGAAACGATATCGATCAGAAATATAAAGAGCGGCAAGGACAGAGACAAGCTTAAGCTAGAATTAATTAGCTAGCTGAAGCTTAAGCTGCAGCTGTTTTTCTTCATGAATTTATGTACAGAGCAGCCGGCGGTAACACGGCGGCAGCTGCTGCTGCTGCTTCTCCTCCTCCTCCTCCTCCTCACCTCCTCTCCTCTCTGCAGCCGCGTGTCCGCGAGTGCGGGTGCGAGAGCGAGAAGCAATGGCGGCGGCAGCAGCAGGAGAGTGGTGAGGCATCTCCCGGGGTTCGACGGGCCGCTCCCGTTCGAGCTGGAGACCGGGTACGTGGAGGTGGACCACATCGCCGGCGTCCGCCTCTTCTACTACTTCATCCGCTCGGAGCGCCGCCCCGCCGCCGACGACGACCCCCTCCTGCTCTGGCTCACCGGCGGCCCCGGCTGCTCCGCCTTCTCCGGCCTCGTCTACGAGGTCGGACCCCTCACCTTCGACCTCCACCATGGCCGCCATGGCGGACTGCCGAGACTGCTGTACAAGCCGGAGTCGTGGACGAAGCGAGCCAGCGTCATCTTCCTCGACTCCCCCGTCGGAACTGGCTTCTCCTACGCCGCCGACGCCGACACCGACGGCGCCGGATTCCGCACCGGCGACACCATTGCCGTCCGCCACATTCTCGTCTTCCTCCGCAAGTGGTTGCAGGAGGTGCACCCAGTGGCGAAGCCAGGATTTGGGTATAGGGGGTGCTGGCCAGGAGACGTAAGAACTCACCAGCGCCTCGGTAGATAATATAGGGTGGATCTTGGTGTATAAAATTGAACTTATTTTAGAATGGAGGATGTATGTCCGAATATATGTTAATATAGTATAAAAAGAACCATTTTTAAAGTCACTAAATAGCACCAACTTTACTCAATACAGAATGACACACGACATCATTTCTATTCATCCTTTTTAATTTTGGAGACTTGCAACCACATCGCTTAGTTACGTTAATAGACTTGCAACCACATCGTTTAATTACGTTAATTAACTCAGGTAATCACGTAAAGCTAAAACCTATTGGACAGCTAGGTAGGTATAGGCTCAACTTGCAACAAATTAATGAGCTAATTTTATGGATTAGATGGCTAATCATCCGGGGGTGGGGTTTGCAGCGCATGGGGATGGGGGGTGCCAGGCCCACCCCGGCACCCCCTGTGGCTTCGCCACTGGGTGCACCCGGATCTCCTCTCCAATCCTCTCTACATCGCCGGCGACTCCTACTCTGGGATGATTGTGCCGGCCGTTGCCTTGGGGATCGCCACTTCTTCACCTGAACCACATCAACCATCTCTCAATCTAAAGGTATATTCACTTCGCGCCACGTTCCTCCATCCTTCCATCCATCTGCTACAATACAGCTACTCCCTCTGTTTTATATTACTCCCTGGGTCCCAAAATATAAGCATTTTTAGGCTCTGATACGGTCTCCGAGATGTTACTTTAATCAATAATCTATTATTTCCTCCGTTTCACAATGTAAGTCATTCTTGTATTTTCCACGTTCATAATGATGTTAATGAATCTATATAGATATATATATGTCTAGATTCATTAACATCAATATGAATATGAGAAATGCTAGAATGACTTACAGTGGCGAAGCCACAGGGGGTGCCGGGGTGGGCCTGGCACCCCCCATCCCCATGCACTGCAAACCCCACCCCCGGATGATTAGCCATCTAATCCATAAAATTAGCTCATTAATTTGTTGCAAGTTGAGCCTATACCTACCTAGCTGTCCAATAGGTTTTAGCTTTACGTGATTACCTGAGTTAATTAACGTAATTAAACGATGTGGTTGCAAGTCTATTAACGTAACTAAGCGATGTGGTTGCAAGTCTCCAAAATTAAAAAGGATGAATAGAAATGATGTCGTGTGTCATTCTGTATTGAGTAAAGTTGGTGCTATTTAGTGACTTTAAAAATGGTTCTTTTTATACTATATTAACATATATTCGGACATACATCCTCCATTCTAAAATAAGTTCAATTTTATACACCAAGATCCACCCTATATTATCTACCGAGGCGCTGGTGAGTTCTTACGTCTCCTGGCCAGCACCCCCTATACCCAAATCCTGGCTTCACCACTGATGACTTACATTATGAAACGGATGGAGTATATTATTAAAGGAATAGAAAAGGGAGCCTCCACGTTCGCTCTCATGGCCTGGAAATTCTCACATTAATCGAAGAAAAAGAAAAAACAGAGTCCATATAGAAATATAATTTAGAAATAGCTAAAAATCGGAATTAAAAAATAAGGAATATTAGAAGAGGAGACTAGAGTCCATATAGAAATACAATTTAGAAATAATTCAAATTCGAAATTAAAAAAATAAGGAATCTTAGAAAAGGAGAACAGAGTCCATATTAGAAATACAATTAGGAAATAGATGAAATTCGGAATTAAAAATAAGGAATATTAGAAGTAGAGTATAGAGTCCATATAGAAATACAATTAGGAAGTAACTGAAATTCTGAATTAAAAATAAGGAATATTAGAAGTAGAGTATAGGGTCCATATAGAAATACAATTAGGAAATAATAGAAATTTGAAATTAAAAATAAGGAATATTAGAAGTAGAGAATAGAGTCCATATAGAAATACAATTAAGAAAAAAAATAAAAATTCGGAATTAAAAAAAAGAAATATTAGAAGTTGAGTATAGAGTCCATATAGGAATTTAAAACTAACTAAAATTTGGAATAAACATAATAAAATTAAAAGTAGAGTTTAGAGTCCGTATAAAAATACAATTTACAAATAACTAAAATTTGAAATTAAAAAAAACATGGCAAGAAGAGTTTAAAGTCAATATAGGATACAATTTAGAAGTAACTGAAATTCGAAATTAAAAATTAAAGAATATTGAAAGATGAGTTTAGAGTCCATATAGAAATACAATTAGAAATAATAAAAATTCAAAAATAAAAATAAATAATATTGGAAGAAGAGTATAGAGTCTATATAGAAATACAATCTAAAGAAAATTCAGAATTAAAAAAAAGAAATATTATAAGACGAGTCTAGAGTCTATATAGGAATATATATAATTTACAAATAACTAAATTTTGATATTAAAAATAATTAATAACTAACACGTATATAAAATATAATATGAATATTACACATTAGTAGTTTTGTAAAGTTATTGCAAAATTTAAAATTATGTTGTCATTTTAATATATTTGAATAATATAATGAGAAAACATATATACAATTATATGAGAGAAAATATAATGATGCTAGCCGTGCAATCTGCGTGGGCCACCATGCTATGCTAGTATCTATAAAAGAGTAAGATGTTTTAAATAATAAGAGTTACATATTATGTTAGTTTGTTTAATGACAAATCTAGTAATATCAATTTTACATGATTGATCTTTTTTATTTTTTTTCTATTAATAGTCAAAGTTAAAAATGTTTGACTTGTTACTATACTAAAAATGCTTATATTTTGGGACGGAAGGAGTATAAGTTAAATTTATTTAAATTTGACCGAGTTTATAAAGAAAAATATACTAATAATTTTAATATAAAAATATATTATCAAAATATATTAAATATTAAATTTAATGAAACTAATTTAACGTTACAAATGTTACTTTTTTTTATATAAATTCGGTCATACCTAATGAATTTTGACCAATAAAAATTCAAACGACTATAATATAAAACGACTATAAGTTTTAACTCTAATTTCGTCTACTCCCTCCGTCCTGAAATATAAGAGATTTTGGTTGGATATAATACATCTAAGACTACGAATCTGGATAAAGAGCTATCCGGATTTGTGGTACTAGGATAGGACAATGTGTTCTATTCAACTAAAATCTTTTAAATTTTCATCAGGAGGGAGTAGGAGTACATAATAACTGCACTGCACACTAATATCCATCTGCCTACCTGCCAAATCGTCATGTATCAGGGCTACCTTTTGGGCAATCCAGTCACTGATCCCAACTTCGACACTCCATCCAAAATTCCATTTACTCATGGGATGGGTCTCATATCTGACGAACTGTACGAGGTAAACATACAGTATGAGTATGAAAAACGTCTCTATCCTGCTTCGTGAAGGAATTATTAGCATCTTATATATATAATTATGATTTTTCAGGCATACAAGAAGAGCTGCAGCGTCAGGGACAACACCCAGCAGCAAAGCGTTCAGTGCACTAATACTCTTGATGCCATAGATGAGGCACGCATTATTATAACTTACTCCTTGCCTTTGTCTCAAAACAAATTAATATAGGATTGGATGAGATATTTCTTAGTATAACGAATCTGGATTGGAGTCTGTTCGGATTCATTGTACTAGCTAAGAAACACCGCATCTAATTCTAGGAAAGTATTTTGTTCTTCAGTTCAGTGATTCTGCTATTGACTAATCAATTGGTAATTAATTGTGAAGTGTGTCAAGGACATATACCAAAATCACATTCTGGAGCCTTACTGCACGTTGGCAAGCCCTCATAATCCGCGCATCGATAAGCCATTTACTTCAGGAGGACGGCAGATGCTCCAACTCCAAGAGGACCAAGACCTTCACTTGTCTGAGATTTCTTCAGAATGCAGAGTTAGTGTACCTTCATTAATTAATTTGTTGATTAATACTAATTTTCCTTTTCTTCTTCTACTACTCCAGTATATATATATCATCATTTATATCTTACATGCCTGCCATTTGGCATTTCTTCTTATCAGACAGCAAGATATACCATGTCCAGAATATGGGCAAACAATGACACAGTAAGAGAGGCACTTGGAATACACCAGGTACATAAATACACCTGTCTGTTCATCATTGAATAATTGAACAGTAATCTGCAGGTTCGATCATCTCTGGGTCCAAATTAAACAAGACAATGCAATGTAATTAATTTATCCTATCCACGGTATTCTGCAATAATGCAGGGAACAGTTCCTTCGTGGCAAAGATGCAACTTTGACATTCCGTACACTCGCGACATCAAAAGTTCAATAAGATACCATCTGGATTTGACAGCTAGAGGCTACAGAAGCCTAATTTACAGTGGTGATCATGACATGGCTATCCCTTTCATCGGCACGCAAGCCTGGATTAAGTCTCTGAATTTCTCTGTTGTGGATAAGTGGAGACCATGGTTTGTGGATGGACAAGTTGGAGGGTGAGGACTCACACTATTCATTGGTATCATCCTATTAATTGTTGAGTATTCGATGGATTAATTACTTGTGTGCGATATATCATATGTGTGTATTCGTCTGTCATATGTGCAGATATACAAGGTCATACTCTAATAACCTCACATTCGCAACTGTCAAGGTATGGGCCGGCGTTCTAGCTTCCTTCTCAGGATTCATGTGCTGTACTACCACCGTTTCAGACTATAAGCCGTTTTAATTTTGATCAAAGTCAAACTATTCTAAGTTTGATTAAATTTGTAGACAAATTTAATAATATTCACAACACCAAATTGATTTTATTAAATCTATAATTGAATATATTTTTATAATACATTTGTCTTGTCTTCAATATATTACTACTTTTTTTCAACAAACTTGATCGAACTTAGAGCAGTTTGATTTCATCCAAAGTTAAAACGACTTATGATCCGAAACTGAGTGACTAACAAATTAAAATCTTGGGACTTGATAATGAAAAATAGTATTTTGGTGTTAATTTGCGTAGGGTGGTGGACATACAGCTCCAGAGTACATGCCAAAGCAATGCCTTACTATGCTTGCAAGGTGGGTGTCCAGAGATCCTCTTTGAAGATGGTGTACATGTAAGAGAACATCCTACCCATATACTACCTCCGTTTTTTAATAGATGACGCTATTGACTTTTTCTCACATGTTTGACCATTCGTCTTATTCAAAAAATTTATGTAATTATAATTTATTTTGTTATGAGTTGTTTTATCACTCATAGTACTTTAAGTGTGATTTATATCTTATACATTTGCATAAATTTTTTAAATAAGACGAATGGTCAAAGATGTGAGAAAAAGTTAACGACGTCATCTATTAAAAAACGGAGGGAGTATATCACAAGGTTTCTGCTGGATTCAAACAATATACATCACAAAAAATTTGCGATTTTGCTAAAATTGTGGTGACATATTTTTTTTATCCATCACAGTGGATTTTTTTCCCCAAGGGTTGCGGTGGAGACTCCTGCTCGCGTGTGCATTGCGTCTGGTTGAATACAGTGCAAAATATGAGGATTGAAAAGAGCGTATATATATACCTCATATATACGTGAGACTAAATAGACATGTATCGCTTTATTACGCCCTTAATAAAAAAAAGTTATACTGTAAGTATTGAAATTTACTATGCCCATGCAAATTGCGCAACTGGCGTTATTATGAAAGTTTTTAATATAATATCATGTATACTTTCACACTATTATGAAAGAAAAATATTGAAATGACAATATAATTCTGTATTTTCGCGTGCAGATGCTTACGTCGTTCGCACGGAAAATAAAAATTCAAAAAAAACCAAAAATTTCAAAAGTCGAAACCCTAACTAGGTCCCATACGTCGACGACGTCATCGCGGTAGTCTGCCGCTGCTTGTCATCATTGCCGTCACCCTCCCCGCACCTCCACTGCCCCTCCACCGCCAAATCCGCGTGGGGGAGCAGCACTACCACCGGAGGAGGAGTGCAGGGGAGGGCCCCACTGCTGCCACCGAATCCACGTGGGGGATGGTTGCCACCGCTAGATCCGCGCGGGGGAGGGCTACCGCCGTAGTTGATGCACGGTTCCTCCGAATGAGGAGAGGAGAGGATAAGGGAGGAGTGGGGAGAGAGTGAGGAGTGGAGGAAGGAACTAGATATTTTAAGGTGTTAAATATGTTTATTTTTGCATGTGGGTATGTTAAGATATTCGTCTGCGAAAATTGATTTTTGCATGTAGCCTCTTAAGAAGCCATATGCGAAAATGCAAATTGATTTTTCAGACGTGACCAGTTACAATTCACATGTAACCTATTGGGGCCCTCGTATATAGAAATCATTTCGTAGTAGTGCATCTTGCCTAGTCTTGAGAAATGAACTGCAAGTCAGACCGGCCCTTAATAAAAAATAGTTTGCGAATAAAACTTTTATATACGTGATCTTAGCGATCTAAATGCAAAGGCTGAAAAATAAACTTCGATGAAAAAAAACCTAAAATCGGCTTAAAATTTATGGTGAAAATTCAAAATTTAGCTGATAAGTATAAACATAAGAAAAAAAAAGATGAAACCACATCAGATTGTGAAGATTGCATGAGAATACTTGACCAGCTAACTAATACTGAGACTAATACTGAATTACTGATGAATCTAGGTCACTCACTAGTGGGCTTAACTGGATCAAGTTCCATCAGATTGAGTGGGCCAGCAGCCATTTCGGGTCCTCGTGATGCATGACTGCATGCTGGGCTTGGGCCTGCAATTACGGCCCAGCACTAATTCTATAATTGTTTCTTGAATCTCCCTGAACTAAACCATTGCTCTTCGATTTGAACACAAATTAAACGCACTCAATTAAACATCACAAGGAAACCTAACTAGCTGATGTAACCTACTCACCCGGATTCAAGTCTTAGACTATACGCGTGTGTGTCGTATTTACAGCTAATTATTCTTTCAATGATAAACGATGTATGTCGACAATGAGGTGCTCTTGGTAACTTTATCGATATCAAGATATGTCGGTTCAGTCTTCCGAGGATGCTTACAATGAGACACCTATGATGACTTCACCAATCTCAAGATATGTTTATAAGAGTAGGGTATGCGGATATACTGACCTAGTCATTCGGAAGTTTTTATAGGGGTAGGATGTGTGGGGGGCCAATAAGGTGTGTTTGTATATGTTTATAGGGATGAGCAACACCTGATGTTATGTTGTGTTTATAAAAAAAGGTGAACTATGTAATCGGACGATCGGCGATGACGTACGCATAGAAGAAGAACAAGTCGTCGGTGGAATTCATTGAAGGAAATTAAATAAGGAAGGTACGCAGGCGATGCATGGAGAGATCGAACAAAATTAAGGAACTGTTTGGAGGAGCTTTAGATTCTGAGAAGCAGCTATTTGGTAGCCAACTTCTGAGAATCTGGAAAAGCTCTGAAACCCAGCTTCTGGCTTCTTAGTTCATTTTTCAAAATATGTAACTACATATTCTCAAAAGCTGTGGACTATTTGGGGCTGCTAGACCCTTCTAGCAGAAGCAGCTTTTAGAAAAAGCTGCAGCTGGGACAAGCTCCTCCAAACAGGGCCTTAGCCTGCTCCACCTGAGCTCGGGTCCAGCTGGTCTAACCCCATGCCCAGAGCTATTGGGTTGCAACAGACCCGTCGATTGACGCCATCCATCACCGTCCTCCCCACACCCCCACCACCCCCCCCCCCCCCAAAAAAAAAAAAGGAAAAAAAATTAACAACGGCTGCGGTTGAATGCAACGTGGCAACCCCAAGCCGTCACGTACTAAAGTCGCAACCTACAACCTACGCGTGGAAACCAAGCTTTCGATGGTGACAAAATTAGGCTGACAATATGTGTGTGAGCCGTCCATCGCGCGCGCTGTCATACAAAAGCCAAAATCGCTGATAGGTATATTAAGACTCCATGCATATATGGGTTACTTTCAAGTACATATATAATTTATGCACGTTGGGCAGAAGGACCGTTGGTGCAGTGGTTAAGTCATACTCGTGTACTCTCTCCGTCCCAAAATATAATAATAAAAATAAGACATTTTATATATGTCCAGATTCGTTATACCATGAAATATCTCGTTCAGTCCTAGTTACTATATTATGGGACGGAGGGAGTAGACGGATGCATAACTCCATGAACCTGTAGAGGCAGAGCTAAAATGAAAGAAAGATGTGTCACTCGATCACTTGTTTTAGTCTATTTTTGTTTGGATTAAGACGATACATGTATGAAAATAGATGAATTATACTTAATTAATTTCTTGATCGGCTTCTGGCCAGATCTCTCATGTGTGGCTCCGCCTCTATCAACCTGGGTTTAAATCGTAATGCTTGTATAAATATTAAGCACGTGTCGTTCTCTTTGAATCACTACGCTGGACCCTCTTACCATTGACGGGCCCATGTCATCACCTTTGATGGATTTAGCCCTCGTCAGAGATTAGTGGTCACTGATGACTGCACCTCACCTATGACGGGTGAAAAGCCGTCAGTGGTGATTAACACCTTTGACGGGCCGCATAGAAATAGCCCGTCACAGGTGAGAATCACTTGTAACGGGTGACTCTTTCCAGCCCATCAAAGGTGACATACACTCTGACAGGTCTAATTTATCACCCGTCACAGGTGTGAAAAATCATCCAAAAAAAATTCAAAACCCCTCAGCCCCCAGCTCACGACATGAAGCAAAAGATGCAAGATTCATCTCAAGATGCAAGACAACAACTTTGCATTTCTTTGGCAGATCTGATAACATCAGAGAAACAATATACATCACACATCTTGAGTAACAATATACATCACACTAGTAATGATCTGCATCTTAACAAACTAGACATCCACACAAACAACACAGAATATGGCCCAATCTAAAATTTGGCAATGAACATTTGCAAGATAAGAAAAATCAAGCACAACCTACAAGAGTCAGAAATGGCGGTGGCGCTCGTGGGTGAAGGAGACGGTGGAGGACGCCGGTGGTCGGGGGGAGAGGGCGTGGACACCGGCGGTTGGGGGATGGAGGCTGCGGTAGCCGGATCCACGTACCAGAACCCCGTGGAGGCCGGATCCAGCGGCGGCTGTTGGGTGGGCGTTGGAAGACGACGCGGGCGGATCCGAGGTTTGTGGGCGTAGAAGCTGGTGGCGCCGTCGATGGGGGCGGTCGCTCATCGTCTTCATTGCAGCCGCCGTCAGCATCGTCGTCGTCGTTGTCGCAGCTACCGCCGCCATGGCCGCTCGCTCCCACTCAACTAAGCCCGCCGCAGTCGCTCCCGAGGGAGGAGACGGGCAGATCTGCTGCCGCCCGAGCCGCCGCCGCCTCCCCTCCCGCCGGATCTGGCGGAGGGGAGGGCGCCACCGCTGCCACCGTCGGGCCGCCACCGCCTCCCCTCCCTCAGTCGGGCCTCCAGATCTGGCGGAGGGAAGGCGCTCCCACCATCCACGCCGTCCTCCGCCACCACGCCTCCCTTCCCGCGCCTCCCCTCTCGCCCCTGCCGGATCTGACGGGATGGCGCCGCCGCCCCTGCCAGGCCGGCGCCGGCGCAGCCGCTACACGCAGAGAAATGGAGAAAGGGAGAGAGAACTCGAGAGAAATGGAGAAAGAGAGAGAGGACAACCTTATCTCTTCTGAGTGTGGGCCCCGCCGGGAGAAGAAATATCTCCTCTGGCTCGGCTTGGGAAGGTAGGTGACGGCTTCGAGTATATATAGTGGGACAACTCACCTCAAACGGTTTAGGGTTTGAACCCATTTGAGGTGAGTAAACCTCACCTCTGACGGGCCATCCGGTTGCAACTCGTCACAGGTAATTAGTCACCTGTGACGGGCCGGAAGTAGAAACCATCAGAGGTGAGGATTAACTCCCCTTTGACGGGTTCCGTTTTCGACCCGTCACAGAGCTGAATAGCTCACCGATGACGGAATCTTTTAGAACCCGTCAAAGGTGACCATCATCACTGACTACCACTTATGCCCGTCACAGATATGTCGTCACAGGTGTGAGGATCTGGTGTAGTGAATATGTGTTTAAACATCACTGCAGAAAAAGAAAAATGCATGTTGTTGATTTCGGAGTGAC